TTTTTTTTTTTTTTTTTTTTTTTTTTTTTTTTTTTTTTTTTCTCTTTTATTGGGCATATAGAGAGGTATTTATGTTGCGTATATCTATGTACGTTATGTATATATATATGTATATTTATGTATTTATATGTATATATATGTATATATATATACATATATATGTATATATATGTATTTATATATGTACATGCATGCACATAATGTATATTTATATGTTTATTATGTATATGTTAATGTATTTATATAATATATATGCATCCATGCATGCATGCATGCATGCATGCATGCATGCATGCGTCTATCTATACATACCTCGAGGATATAATACATCATAAAGAATATTGATATTAATATCATTAAATAAATACACCAATAAATAAATAAAAACATGCATGGATGCATGCACTCTAATAAATGCATGCACCTGCATGCATGCACCTGCATGCATGCATGCACCTGCATGCATGCATGCATGCATGCATGCATGCATGTCTACGTACCTCGAACTTGGCTATGTTATGTGATACATCATAGAGTATATTCATATTAAGATCATCAGGAGAAGATTTGAATACTTTGCTGAATGCTTCTCTTACTAAAAAAGATACACAACCTCTATTTGTCCATGCATAATTTGCTGCTGCTGCCATAGATGCTAAATAATCTTGACCCTATATATATTTATAACAGCAGCAACAGCAGCAACAGCAGCAACAGCAGCAACAATAGATTCACCAACAAAAAATATGCATATTCATGTATTTTATGTTATTTTATGTTAGATTGATCTATAATAACAGCTAAACCCTAAACCCTAAACCCTAAACCCTAAGGGTTTAGGGTTTACGGTTTATCTGATTATTATGTTATCCCGATTTCTGTTATTTGCTGCACAAAGTATGAAAGGGTTTATAAGGGTCCTTTAGGGTTTATTAGGGTTTATTAGGGTTTATTAGGGTTTATTAGGGTTCATTAGGGTTTATTAGGGTTTAGGGTTTAGGGTTTACCTCTTTAGAGTGCATAGGAGCGCATGCAAGTTGTTTATCAATAGGGAAGAAGTTATTTTTTTGCATGCATTTCTCCATGACTACTAATGCATCTGTTGCTACTTGATGACCTAAACCTCTACTACCCGAGTGTACCATTACACACACTTGACCCTTCTGTACAGTACACACCAAACCCTAAACCCTAAACCCTAAACCCTAAACCCTAAACCCTAAACCCTAAACCCTAAACCCTAATTTTTTTGGGATGAGGGATATTATTCAGGGAGAGAGGGAAAGGGGGAAAATTATTTAATAAAGAATATAAGGGAGGTTTAGGGTATTAGGGTTTTGTAGGGTTTAGGGTTTGATTAGGATTAATAGTTAGGATAGGGAGGAGGGAATAAAGGAAGGGTTTAGGGTTTAGGGTTTAGGTAACAGACCTCAAGACCCATTATTTTAGCGGCAAATTCGTCATATATCTCATCAACAACCTAAACAATAAAAAGCATAAACCCTAAACCCTAAACCCTAAACCCTAAAAAATTAGTCTTACACGGTGATTCAGAGACGATGAAAACAGCAAGAACAACTACGAATTAGGGTTTAGGGTTTAGGGTTTAGGGTTTAGGGTTTAGGGTTTATGTACCTGTACTTCGCAATAATGATTACCAGCACCAAGAGTACCCATTTGCGGTAAACCCCTCTTCTTTGCTCTTATAGAAACCTTTGAAGGATCTGCAGCAAAAAAAAAAAACACCTCTAAACCCTAAACCCTAAACCCTAAACCCTAGAAGCAGAGGGAATATTATATTTATATCCAGGTAAAAAAAGGAGAAGAACAAAGAAACACTTGTTACTGTATTTATAATTAGGGTTTATAAGTAGAGAATTATAATATAATTAGAGTTTAGACTTTCTTAAGGGTTTAGGGTTTCTCAAGGGTTTAGGGTTTAGGGTTTAGGGTTTAGGGTTTAGGGTTTAGGGTTTAATTACCAGCAGTTAACATTCTTCCATATTCTTCGCAATGTTCTTTATCTTCTGGCCATGCATATCCTTGTCTAATTACCCAATCTAACCCTAATTCTAATGAACTATCTAAATCTGTACACATAAACCCTAAACCCTAAACCCTAAACCCTAAACCCTAAACCCTCAATAAACCATAAACCATAAACCCTAATGACAAGATTCTTCTTCTTCGCCTATAACAGAATGTGTTAAGCCTCTCCTTCTCCTCTTCCTCTCCAGCCACCTACCTAGCTAGCTAGCTACCTACCTACCTACCTACCTATCTAGCTATCTAGCTAGCTAGCCACATATCCACGCAGCTCCCCACCCACCTACCCACCCACCAAGCTAGCTAGCTAGCTAGGTAGCTAGCTAGCTAGCTCCCTCTCTGTCTCCCCTCTGTCCTTACCTTGCATATTACAAGGAATAATACCTTGTGATCCAACACCAACAGGAACATATTTAAATAAACAATTAGCTAATTCTTCTTGTTTATTTCTTA